AGCATGCACTCAAATGCTCACAGGGCTGTGTGAAATGTGTGCTATTTCATCCATTAACTCTAAAAACAAACCCCAAAAGATTGCTCCCGGATTTACAGCTTTCCTCCAGTCACCAGTGGATATATAATATACGCTGTACTGGGGATGTGCCAGCGAAGAGTCTCATTTCAGCTTTACTCAAGTGAATTTTTTTTGTGAGGACAACATGGTTAAGCTGAATATATTTTGAAGAAACTCGATGTAAATCTTGTCAAACAAGTATTACTCAGATAAATCTGGAGACAAAAATATCCTCTGAAGGCGTTGATTGACAGAGATGGCTGTGGGAAGAGTCACTCTCAATGAGCGTTTTATAAGAAACAACACCTGTGCACCTCTTCACATTGTGTGCGACGACAGCGAGAGAAACAGATGGCTGTGAGCAGCGAGTGCAAGAGAGTATTGGGAAAGTATCAGTAAGGGAAAACAGATCCTTTGGACTCATTTATCTAAATCAAATCCACTCCTAGACACACCTGGATTCAGTCTGAGATGGGCATAGTGATCATTTGAGTTTGTTTATCGTGAGAAATCCGTTTGTTTGTTTGTTGGTTTGAGTGGTGTGTGTGTAATTGTGTGACCAAGCAACTGAACCGAGTGAAGTGAAAACTGTGACCCTGAGGTCAGACACTTTGCTTATGTGACTCTGTCCTGCGGGGTCAAGCTTACCCATGGGAATCCGTGGAGTTTATTGATCTGAATGGTTTGATTGTTTGGTTTTGCTTATTAGCCTTGGCTATAATGAGCTTCTTGTGAAGTTATTATATGAGGCTCCACAGGTTCCTGGTAGTCCTATGGATGTGGGACATCTAAATGCTGCAGTAATGAGTCATTAGCTTCCCGCTGTCTGTCTCCTTCTCTCTGTCCAGCTTTGGAAATCTATACCACATCCATTTAAAAAAGAAAGGTTTGCTATATTTGGATTGTCTGTTTATTTACTAATAAGCAGCAAGGGACAATAACTCAAGTAAGGTTGTTCAATAATTAAATAAACCAATAGTTTGGGGTCAGTATTTAAAGAAAATAATATTTTATACAGTGAGAACACATTAAACTGACCAAAGTGAAAGTAAATACAGTTACAAACTATTTTAGTTCTTTTGAACTTTAAAGAATCCTGAATTAAAAAAAAAAAAAAAAAAAAATCAGTTTCAGAATAGATAATAATAATAATTTCTTGAGCAGCAAATCAGCATATTAGAATGATTTCTGAAGGATCATGTGACACTGAAGATGCTGAAAATTCTGCTTTGCCGACAGGAATAAATTGCATTTGAAAATATGTGAAAATAGAAAACAGTAACAGTCAGTGAAAACAGTTTATTTTAATCTGTAAACACATTTAACAATATTTCTGTTTTTAACATGTTTTTGATCAAATAAATGCAGCTTTGGTGAGATCGATGTCTTTAAAAAAACAAAAAAAAAACAAGATTTTTTTTTAAACTTACTTACCAACCCAAAACTACATAAGATCATAGGTTTAGTCTAGATGTAGTTTGTCAAAATATTTGGACATCTAAAATGTGTCTACACTACAAAGAAAGCTGTGTTATACTGTATATCGATGAAGCATTTGATCAGCCGTTTCTATATCTGGAAAATTTAAAGAAATTTGATGCTAAACTACGGGAAAAAAATTGTTAAACAAGTTAATTATCTCAGATTTACAAGATAACTTTTCATGGAAAAAAAGGTTTTTGCTCTGTTTTTCTGAATTAATGAGTTATCTCAGAATCATGAAATATATTTTTCTTGAAAAACATTTTTTTTTACTCTGTTTTTATGAATACTCATAATTTTTATTTCGAGAGATAATCAAGTCATTAATTAAAAAAAAAACAGCAAAAAAAAAATGCTTCCATATTAAACCAATGCATAAACACTTAACAAAAAATTACATAAAAAGTACAGACATTTTGAAAAGCATTAAGACAGAGCTATGGAGATATCCATCACATGTGGATGAAATGGCAATTATGTACATCTGCTTGAAAACTACTGCTGTGCTGTGCTGTGAAATTTTAATTACACTGCAACACAATAAAATTATGCGCTGGGGTGTGTTTCCCAAAAGCATTGGTGGCCATCTATGATCTCAATTTCCACTGAACTCTATTGTTAAAGACAGAACTTGCGACCATAGTTGGCTTTGAGAAAAGTGCCCCTGCTATTATATGTGCTTACCCCAAGATGAAATTCTGCAGGCACCCCTGATTTTGATATGGTGTATCATGTCACAGTGAGTTGTGGTATTGCATTTGTGAAGAGCTGGAGGCTCACGTGAAGATTTAAATGACAGAAGGCTGTACGCTCCCTGCGTGTCAGAGTTGTGCATGTCAGATGGCAGGAGGCATTGAGGGAGGTAAAGTAACTCCATCAGTCATTCCAGAATGAGAAAAGCATTACAGTCAGACACACACCCGCGAGCGCTCTCCATCTGCGAGTAATCAGGCCTGTGATCCAGGCTCAACTTTTGATCACTACGTTTGTGTTCAGGTTCATGTCGAGAAAACGCTTGATGTTCTGCGACCACCTCGCGCAGTTCTGTTACTGCATTAGACGCAGTTCCCCATGGTGAAACACGCTCTTATTTGCCGATGTGAATAAAGAGAATCATGTATAAGTTCATTAAAATTTCTCAATAATGTCTCATGGTTTCTGTATTTCGACTGAATCCATCAGTGGTGCTTTTTAGTTAAAATTTTAAGCATTGGAAATATGAGTAAGAAAAAAAAGAGTGGGAATCAAAAAGTGTGGAGAGGAAAATGTTCACAAAAAAGTAATACTAATAATAAAGTCACCTTTTTCTTTTGTCGGTTCCCAGAAGACTTTCTCTTTTTATTCTGTGGAACACAAAAGGTGATCGTTTGAAAAATTGTCAAGGACAAACTGTCAAAATAACCAAAAAGCACTATTAATATATAATCAAACTGGTCAATAAAAAAAAAAAAAATGTTGCACTGCAAGTCTTCTAAAGCCATTCGATAGCATTGTGTGAGGAATGGTATAAAAAAAAAAAAAAGAATAAACATAAATTCTGCAGTTGCGCTCCTTGGCGTGTAGTGAGGTTTTCTTAAACAAATCATTCTGATCTGATTTGATTTTCAATGAATCAGCTGATCATGAAACCGGTCTGATTCATTTAGATAAGAAGATGTTCTGATGCCTGTACTAAACAGAAATAAGCGTTGGAAGCAGGAAACCCACTTTTTCAGGAATCTCAGTCCACTTGTTTGGTGTACAGGTTTCGGATGGCTGTTTTCACACTTATTCAAATGAATCCCACAAGGGTTTATTTTAATCGGACCAAACATGCCAAGTAAACAAACCCTACGAGTGGCACGTCCAGATGCCTTGTCAACATGTTTAGTAGATTATCACATTTAGTCCTAACCATATCCCTATCCCTAAACCTAAACCTCCCCATAAATTATCCCTAAAATCAGAGGGAAATGAACAACACTGATGTAGAGGCACCTAACCCTGGTTGTAAGCCTAAACTTGACATACACTGTAAAAAATATTGATGGTTTAACTTAAAAAAAGTAAGTAACCTGGTTGCCTTAAAATTTTAAGTTCATTGAACTGGAAAAAATGAGTTAATACAATGAAGGAGATTAATTTAACCATCAGAAACTCAAAATGATATGTTATCTGAACTAAATACATTATTTAAGTTGATTTGACAAAAGAAAAAATGTTGTGATTACTACACTGTAAAAAAAAAATTGTTAGTTTAACTTAAAAAAGTAAGTAACCTGGGTTGCCTTAAAATTTTAAGTTGATTGAACTGGAAAAAGTGAGTTAATACAATGAAGTAGAAACCATCAGAAACTCAAAATAATAAGTTATCGCAACTAAATAAATTATTATAAAGTTGTTTTGACAAAAGAAAATATGTTGTGATAACAAATCTTGAATTTTTTTTTTACAGTAAACTTGTCCTTCAAATCTGATTGGTCAAATGTAACGTTGATATAGTAGCACGTTGCACTTGGTCAAATCAGGTTGGGTTTGAATTAACATTAAGGTGAGTAAAAGTTTTTTTTTTTTCTGTCTGTGGGACAACTACTTCCCACAGAGAGAAAAGAAGAAGGATTATAACTGTGTAAACATGAGAACGAGAGAGAGAGAGTCCGTGGTGAAGAGCTGTGTGGTGGCAGTGTACTACACTGTGCATTCTGTGAGCTGGCCGCAGCGAATTGTCATAAAAGCCAGCCCATTCTCACTCCCAAGGCGTCACCTAACTGACGCCTTGGGAAGCATTTGACCATGCTTCAATATCTGACGCTTTAGGCGCCCTTTAGCGTCAGTTAGATGACGCCCTAGGATCGCGTGTACCCTACCCCCACCCCATACCTAAACCTAACCGCGTCCTCTAACTGACGCTTTCCTTTAGCGTCAGTTAGATGACGCCGTAGGATCGCGTCATGTAAGTGACGCTAAAGGGCGCCTAAAACGTCAAATATTGAAGCATGGTCAAAGGTGACGCCTTGGGGTGAGAATGTGTTGTAAAAGCATATCACAGAGGCTGTATCTGCAGGCTGCCTTGGCCCCGGCACTTCGCTTTGATGGATGGTCATTTTCATTGCCTTCTCACGCTTAATGAAGTTCAGGACTCACGCCTGCAGTTCAGGTCTTAATTGAATGCTCTCTACAGTCTCAAGCTTTTCACCTCGGCCCGCTCTCTCTCTCTCTCTCTCCCGAGCCTGTCCAACGCCGCTCTGTTCGCTGCACTGCATGCTTGCTCTTGCTCTTGTTTTTGAGGCCGATCTCTGATGAGTTATGATTGAAAAGAGCGGAGCCTAACACATATTTTCACTCACACCATCTAATGCTTTTATGAGGCCACAGGAGCAGGGATACTGAGTGGGCAATGCTGATAAAGGCATATAGGCCAAAACACATCACTCTTATTTTTTTCTTTCTCACTTTCTCTTTATCTCTTCCCCTCTCAGGCTTTGCATCTGCTCCATCCTCCAAAGCGTGCCTGCAGAAATGACTATATTGGTAAGAAGTTATGTTTTGGATAATAAATAGTGAATATGCAGTTTCCATGGTGAGATTACCCTCCCGTTTTTAAACAATTGTTATTTTTCACTGAAAAATCTGTGTATTACAGTTTTTTTTACAATCACTTTGTTACTATTTTCAGAACCTTGATCTCATTTTTCAGAATTCTAGACACAAAACTCACAACCAATGATCAACATGCACATCTTTCAAAACTCTAACAATTTTCTCAATTTCTTGGATACAATAGGCTACACATTTAGATCATTTGTTCATTCAACAAAAATCACCTGTTCAATATGACACAACTTAACATCCAAGTAGTACTATTTCAAAAGGCAATTCACAGATTACATTTCAAACGAGCGTCTATTCATTTCCTTATAATTATCAATTGATACAAAATGATAAGTAACTGTCGCAGTACTCTTAATGCATAGTTGTATGGAAACAGACACACAATCTTCCATTTTTACAGTAAATCATTAAAGTTTCAAGATAACGAGATTCATTGTCACCAATTATCGTGGTGACAAATAAACGCATGTTAATTTTTCAACTTGACTGCAAAATAGAAGCTTTTAGTGGTCTCAGATTTGTGGATCCCAATGTACTGAATATTCTCTAAATCATTCAAACTTTTAAAAATACCATTTTGAGAGGGTACATTTTGTAGTTGTAATCTTTTCCTTGTTCTGATGCAATGTAATTCTATTTGGTGGTTTATATGTTTTATATGAGGCTGGAGGCTCCTAATATCTAACCGTCCCACATGGGCTGAGAACATGGGGAGTGCAAGTAAGCTTTGTTCCACTTGGAGGTGTGTACAGGCTTCTAGCCTGAAGAGGTCAAAGCAACATGTGCTAATGATTGTGTGTTATTTACACACTTTCCACCAATATGCAGAGAAAAGCAGCGTCCCTTACGAGATCTTGCAGCTTGCTCTGATCGAGAGCTGATATGTGCACAATTAAAATTAATGTATTCATTTGATGTCAAGCGCTTTAAATATTTCAGACACTGGAGGGCAGGGGGAAGATGATCTGAGCAGCACTGCAAGGGCGCTGTATTATTGATTGATCGCACGCTCAGCTCGTCACGGCCGCTGTTCAGGTGCGCATCTGCGCTCCAGGTTATTAGTGTCCCTGCTGCAGATGGAGCGATCAAGTTTTGAGTGCATGATGATGAAATTTTTGTTCAGAGGGAAACTCGCAAAAAGAATGGCCGAAAGGGCACTTAGTCTGAAAAGATGCTACTTCACATTGTGACATGATGTTGTCCTGCTCAGGGCCACATAGTGGGCACTTGATTTTGTAGCCACCTGCCCATAAATAGTTTTCAAATAGAACATTTCTTTATATTATACAATTTTTCAATAATAATAATACAGTTATAAATCATAATGAGAAAAACACATAGATATACAACGCATTCTCACCCCAAGGCGTCACCTTTGACCATGCTTCAATATTTGACGTTTTAGGTGCCCTTTAGCGTCACTTACATGACGCGATCCTATGGCGTCATCAAACTGACGCTAAAGGAAAGCGTCAGTTTGAGGACGCGGTTAGGTTTAGGTGTGGGGTGGGTGTGTACACGCGATCCTAGGGCGTCATCTAACTGACGCTAAAGGGCGTCTAAAGCGTCAGATATTGAAGCATGTCCAAATGCTTCCCAAGGCGTCAGATAAGTGACGCCTTGGGGGTGAGAATGGGCTGAGATATATTACTACAATTATCACAAAAATGTTAAACATATTATATATATATATATATATATATATATATATATATATATATATATATCATTGCCACTTATGGGATTAATAAAGTGGTTAACTGGGAATTATTATTATTATTATTATTATTGGCAACTAGACCCTTGGGATCCTTTGGATTATATCTAAACCATAAACTACTATTTTTACATAATGAATATTATTATATAATATTATTATTCATTACTTTTTGATAACGATATTATATTTGATCTTTAAATTTGACTAATATTATGAGAAATATATATATATATATATATATATATATATATATAATACCATTAAATAAGTACCCAATTTTACATTATCATTTCATTTCTGGTCAAAAACATGAGATTTAAAGATATAAATGTCGTGAGAATTACGTTATGTACTTCAATGGTTTTATATAATAGTTCAATATTTATTTATTTAAAAAAAAACAGAAATAATCAACTAGTATCAACTTCACATAAAAAAAAAAATAAAAACTTATTTTTTTATTTAATCCTGATCATGTTTGAAACATATTTATAATATTTTGGATAAAGGCAGCGTGAATGCTACGTAAATAAATAATGATACAGGAGTAAATTGGCCTTTACACATAAAAATAGGCATTGACTATTTTTTTGTTTGTTTGTTTGTTTGTTTTTTTGCTATAATATTTAGTTACACTTTGTTATTCATTGTACTTACAAAAAGTACGTTGTTGATTCATTGTACTCAAAAAAAAAAAAGAACAAAGTAATATTAATAAACTAAGTGTACTTATAGAGTTCCGGTTAGGGTTTGGCTTAGTTACTTGTAATTATGCATACTTTATTATATAGTAACATATAACTACATCACCTTAAAATAAAGCGTCCCACTTTTTAAACCTTTGAATAGTAAAGTATGTGGCAAGGGTAGTCAGTTAGCGCTATATGTCCGAAGGGACCCGAGGCTTTAGTTGTAAGCTCACACTGTATGCCGGGCCTTGATTTTCAAATGCTGAGGCCCCCGGATCATCACCGTTTCAAAAAGCCCACCCTGATCCTGCATAATATAATTACTATTGTAATAATTACTGTAACTGATTCCAGATAATCACTAGTGACTAATCGTTGGCAGTGTAATCATTCTCATCCTATGGCTGCCTGTTGAAAGGACATTTACAGCTTTATAATGCGGCCCAAAAAAATGTGAAATCACAGATGCAGCACTTGGCAGCAGATGCCATGAAGAGGCAGAAATCTCACTGGTAGTGACTCATCATAAAACTGATGGTGATAGACAGGCTCTTGTGTTCCTCGCTGGCGTAATAATCAGGACCACATACTGTACGGCGTATTGAAGCATACTGAAGCAATGCAACGGCATAAAGATATCAACCAACGTCTTGAGTTTTCATTTCATCTTATTGTTTTGTGGTATACTGTAGATTATTTTTTCTCATCCTGATTTGGCCTTGTCAAAATTCCTTTTGTGATTCCTTGCCGCATTGTAGAGGGATGGCCTCTCTGGAGTCTGGGTGAAAAGTTCTGAAGTTTAACCTGAACTCACCTTCTATCGACACATAGCTACTGTGTTTCTTTATGTCAAAGAAAGAATGGTTTTTGACAAGCCAAACACATAAACCAAGGGATTCGTGTTGGCTATATCACGGATCATTCTTGCTGTGCTCAAGTGAGTCAACCTTGATTGCTGAGACTGACAAAGAAAGCGGTCATATAAAAGCTTGGGGATAAGATGACTACAAACTTGTTTTCATGGCCATGACAATCATCTTTTGAGTTGATATTATTCCAAATATGTTGTTATGTATCTGTTGCTTTTACCAATGGCATTTTCAGTGAGCATTCCATTTCAGCTTTTTGCAATAAATGTTTGTTGACTTGTTTCTCTAATTTTAGTGTAAAAAAGAAAACATGACTCACTTTTCGGCACAATATCTTCAGCGAAGTTTCCCCTAAAATGTTGCCCCATTATCTTTATTGCAAGCCCGTAGAAACACAGAGGCAGAGCATTTTATGGCTTTCATCTCTAAACAAGCAGAATTAGGATTTTTTTTTTATCTTGGATAAGCGCATAAGTGCTGAGTTGAAAGGCTTTAAAAGCAACAAAATCGCATGTGTCATTCATAATGCGGCGCATCTCGCGAGTGGAATTAGCCCCCAGTCACACTTTAAAAAAGACAATGGAAGGTTACGAACGTCACCGTGCACATTCTCATACTTGAGCAAGCGTGCTTTTGCTTGGCGAGGGCTTCATTGTGGAGCGCAGATGACCCGTGAAATATGATGTAGCACACTTCACCTCACCTTCTCACTGATGCAGACCGTGCTACAATTTCCCCCTCAAAGAACAGAGCAAATCAACCTTCCCGTTCTACCGGCACGTGAAGCGCTGTCTGCCCGCCACCGACTGATTTGAATTGACTGGAAAAAGATGACACTGAGGGTATAAGATGATAGGAAGAATTAACACTGATTCAACAATAGAGATGTGTAGTATGATCGTCGTTGGATAAACAAAAGCTTCATAGATGTCTTGCTGCATCAGTTGTTTATGGATAGGTTTGAGTTTTTACACGAACCCTCACCCTTCCCATTATGGTTTGAATGCCTGTAATTATGGTTTCTATTCAGCAGTGACATGAATCTGATCCACGTAAGCTTTTAATATAGCAGGACAATACATGTAGTTAAACCTGCTCATTTTGTGCTGACCTTATGTTGACATTTACGCTCTAAACAATGCTGGGATATTTGAACCAATGGTTGGGTCAAATATGGATGTTTTAATATCCCAATTTTTTTTTTTTTTTAATTTTTTGTGAACTACTGAACTACTCCTGAAGTGAACTACTCCTCTAAGACCTCTTTTAAGGGTTAAATACTTTTTGAATTACTTTTTTCATTAGTAGGATTTTTCTAAATGCCCACATTTCTAAGAATTTTCTTAGACTTTAAGGTAACACTTTATTTCACGGTGTCCATGATACAGAGTAATTACTTAATTACTTAGTAGTAGACATGAAGTAAACATAAGTACAATCTAGATACCAGTGGCGGCTGGTGAAAATTATTGTAGGGGGGGCTGAATAAGAGGGGGGTCTGGCCTAAGAAAATTTTGAATTTAGTAGATGTGATTTCCTGCATTCTGGTGCATTTTAGGCCTTAGGCCATGCCCTTACCTATACCAATAAAATAACTTAAACCAGTCAATACCAATGGTCAAATAATACAATA